CTCCTGGCTCCGATCCCCGGCTCTGGGAGGGGAGTGGGGGCTGGTGGTTAGAGCAGGGGGGCTGGGAGGCAGGACTCCTGGCTTCTCTCCCCGGCTCTGGGAGGGGAGTGGGGGCTGGTGGTTAGAGCAGGGGGGCTGGGAGGCAGGACTCCTGGCTTCTCTCCCCGGCTCTGGGAGGGGAGTGGGGGCTGGTGGTTAGAGCAGGGGGGCTGGGAGCCAGGACTCCTGGGTTCTAATAACTGCTCTGAGGGTGGTAGTGGTGAACAGGGCTGCCCAGGGAGGAGGCTGTGTAGGACCCAGGGCAGACAGGGGGCGAACGTGGGAGCCCCTGTGAGGTCTGGGGTGTGAGGAGTTAATTGGGATGCTCCTGTTCTCGCGCTAATTCCGCTCTCTGTTCTCGCTCCTGCAGGGGATCCCTGGTGCTACTGGCCCCATCGGCCCCGCCGGGCCCCCGGGACTTCCTGTGAGTGACCTTTGACCTTCTCCTGTGCCTCACCCCATGGCCCCCTTGTCTGAGCATCACCTGTAATGGGCCCCGTTTTGTCACCTGCCCTCACCCTTGTGTCTGGGCATCCCCTGTAACGTGCCCGTGACACTACGGGGTGCAGTCCAGACAGGGGCAGAGGCTGTGTCACCGCCTGCCCGGTATCCTGGGGTGCCCTGCGGTGCCTTGCTGCTGGAACTCCCAGCCTGGACCCCCCACAACCCCCCAGCATGTTCCCCCCGAGGGCTGGGTACAGCCACCCCCTGCCAGCCATTCGCAGGCCACGCCTGGCTCCCACCAGCCTGGGTTAGTGCTGCGGGGTGACCCCAGCCCGCTCCCCACTCCACCCTGCCCCCCAGACCTGTGTTCTGCACTGTCCAGCCACGCCCAGGTCACACCCGGCCCCACCAGACTGGGTTAGTGCTGCAGGGTGACCCCAGCCTGCTCCCTGCCCCACCCTGCCCCCCAGACCGTGTGTTCTGCACTGCCAGCCCTCTCCTGGACAGGCCGATAGGGGATCTCATACAGCTGGTAGCCCCACAGATGGCGTTACCCACACAGCTCGCAGCCTGGGATTAGGGTCGACAAATAATAGAAGTTTCATTCACTACAGAGCGGTAGGTGGTCAGTGGGTCCCGGTGACAAGGCGTCGAGGTCAGATGGTCACAGGGAGAATAAAGATAAAACGCTGCCCAGAACAAACCCTAACGGAGTGGGCGTGGTCCCAGGTGCAGTCCCTAACTGCTGGTCGTGCGCCGGGTCGGGGCCTGTCCCGGGGGCCGACGGTCAGTTTCTTGTGACCTCAGAGGCGAAAGAGCAGGGTGGGGAGTGAGAGCGTGGGGTGTTCGCCCCTGTCACGGACTCACAGGTCTTGCCCACTCTTGGCCCCGTGCAGTCCGTGAGGGGTGCCCCTTTCAGTGCGACAGCCCTTCTCGGGGGTCCACTCTCTCTCAGGGGTCAGGCCCCTCCACCTTCTGGAGCCGCTCCTCTCGGAGCCTTAGCACGTCTGTCTCTGCCGTGGGCCCCCTCAGGGAGTCCCCTCACTCTGGACCCCCTGGGGCCTCCACCCCCGAAGGGGTCGATGCCCCTCCCCCCCCCGCCCTGTTCTCTAGACCGGAGTGACTCTCAGCCAGCGTCACACAGGAGGGTTTATTGAGAGTTGAACCCAGCACAGGAAACTCTCAGGGCCTCCGGCCTGGCCTCCCTCAGCCCAGCACATCCCAGTCTCTCTGCATCCAGGTGGATGCTCCCCCTCTCCAGCCCAGAGCCCCCCTGCTCCCAGCTGGGCATCTGAGATCCCCGGCCCCAAGCCCCCTCTGTCCATTGTCTTCTCTCCAGGGAAACAGCAGCAAAGTCTGTTTGAACAGGTCGTAGCCCCCGTCTCAACACCATCCATTTGGCTGAACGCCTGTATGGCTTTGGGACCCAGCCGGGGGGTCAGACAGCGAAGCCTGTCTGCGGGGTCAATCTGGTTCAGTTCACAAGCCTTCTCAAAGGCTGTGACGTAAGCATCAATACCCCCCCCCCTCCTGGAACTGGGGCAGCAGTTCGGTGTCTAGACTCCCCTCAACACCGGCATCTTGGGGCCCTTCCCCACTTACCCCGCGGCAGTTCCCTCTTGGCCCATCTCTCGTCCATCTCCAACTTGTGCTTCCGCTGTTCTACACGGTCTGCTCGTTCTCTCTCTCTGCCCACCAGCCTCCGATCCTCCAGCTCCAGCTCCTTCGCTTTCAGCTGCAGCTCCAATCTCCGCAGCTCCTCTGGGGAGGAACCGGACTGGGGTCTCCCTGTACTGACTGGGGAGTCAGGTCTGACCCACTCCCGGTCGCTACACAGACTGCCCCCCCGGCTACTCCCCGGCTCTCCGGGCACCCCGGGAGCCCCCCTGGGGTCTGGAGCCTGCGGCTCAGACGGGTCATTCTCTACCAGCTGAGCAATCAGCCGCTCCTTAGTGAGCCTCCCCACGCTCAGCCCCCTCTCGCTGCAGAGTCGGGCCAGGTCACTCTTACGGAGCTGGTTCTAGGCCATGTCCAGGCTGGTTCCGTTCAACACCCTCGTTCTATCACTGGCAGCCACTCACTGCACAGCGCCTGCGCCCACAGCCAACGTCTACAGGGTGCATCTGCAACACATCCCACTGCTGACACCACGTTGTCACGGACTCACAGACCGTGCCCACCTTTGGCCCCGTGCGCTCCGTGGGGGGTGCCCCTTTCAGGGCAACAGCCCTTCGCGGGGGTCCACTCTCTCTCGGGGTCAGGCCCCTCCACCTCCTGGAGCCGCACCTCTCTGAGCCTTAGCACGCCTGTCTCTGCCGTGGGCCCCCTCAGGGAGTCCCCTCGCTCTGGACCCCCCGGGCCTTCACCCCCGAAGGGGTTGATACCACCCTGTTCTCTAGACCGGAGTGACTCTCAGCCAGCGTCACACAGGAGGTTTATTGAGAGTTGAACCCAGCACAGGAAACTCTCTGACCCTCAGGCCTGGCCTCCCTCAGCCCAGCACATCCCAGTCTCTCTGCATCCAGGGGGGCTCTGCCTGCTCCCCCTCTCCAGCCCAGAGCCCCCCTGCTCCCAGCTGGGCATCTGATACCCCCAGCCCCAAGCCCCCTCTGGCTATTGTCTTCTCTCCAGGTAAACAGGGTCGTAAACTGGGGCCTCCTCTCCTCGCTTCTGTCCTCTGGCTGGAACCGGCTGGTTCGGTCACTGGGGCCTCACTCTGCAGCCCATTGTCTTCCCAATGGCCAGAACCGGCTGCGTCTCCTCAGCTGGGTCTCCGGGTCGGGGTCTCAGGTCACCGGTCACTGGGGTCTCCATCCTCCAGGCCATTGGCTGGGGTCCCACGTTCCCTCTTCGGTCCTCTGTAACAACAAACTCCCTCTCCCCTCCCCTCGTTAAACCAGTAACACCCAGGTAAACTGAGTCCCACCCCCTCCACATGCAAACCATTGAAACCCCACCGAAAACAAGAAACCCCCCACTTCGTCACAGCCCCCCCCTTGAATAGCTCAGCCCCTGGGACAAGCATGCTCCCGAGGGGACTCCTAGATAACGCTCTGTCCCCCAGGGGACCCCTAGATAACGCTCTGACCTGTGGAGCAAGGGGACCCCTAGATAATGCTGTGTCCCCTGCAGTGAGGGGACCCCTAGATAACGCTCTGTCCCCCAGGGGACCCCTAGATAACACTCTGACCCGCGGAGTGAGGGGACCCCTAGATAACGCTCTGACCCCTGGAGCGAGGGGATGTGGAGTTGGGGGGACGGGTGTGCTGAGCTCAGGGATGTCGACACTGGGGAGCTCTCCTGTTGGCGGAGTTAATCCACCTCCCCGAGGGGCTGGCGCTGTGTCGGCGGGCGAAGCTCTCCCACGGCAGCGCTGGCCAGGCGGGGGCAGGTCGGTGTAAGTGCCTCGCTCGGGGGGATTATTCACAGCCTGGGACTCTGCAGTGTAGCCCTGGCCTCAGACCTGGTTGATCCTGCCCCGGCCCCGTGCCAGAGCATGGCCACTTGCTGGGTGCTGGCCCATCTGCTCGGATGGCGCCTGGCTGGACGCGGGCCCTTGTCGCTTCCCCAGATCTGTCAGACGTGACTGCAGCATGTCGGTGACGTGCGTACGACGTGGCTGCGTGGGGCCCCGTGAGCTCACGACCAGCCAGTCACTGGTGTGCAAAGGGAGCTCGCTAGGTGCATTTGTGACGAACTGGGACTGTTCTCAATGTGGTCTTTGAATGCTGAGTGGGGAGTGTTGGCTGGGAAGGCAGGGGAGTGTGGCTAGGATGGTCTGCATGGGGGGATGGGAGACTGGCCTTGAGGGAAGATACCTGAGCATGTAACGTGAGAACCCAGGAAGGGGTTAGAGGCCAGGTGACACCTTTGTCCAGGAAACTGAACAAAGTCTGGGGAGAGAGTTTCAAAGCTGGCTGGTGGAATGGCTGGGAGGCAGACGGGGCTCTG